GTCATCTTCAATACTATGATCTTGGATAGCATCAACTACAGCCTGATCTTCAATTTCATTATCACTGTTTTCACTACTATCCGAATATTCAAACTCACTAACTTCCGAGTCGTGAGCAAGGAGCTCATCTAGTTCATCGTCCTGTAAAGCTGTCCTACTTGTAGAGGCCATGGTTATGGCGCGACTGACAGAAGAATGTGTTATGACATCATAGATTTCTGTATCATTCGTAAGTTTGTTTACTTAGGTTGCATTTGGTTCCAGGAAAAAATGACCCTCTTGTTTGACTACTTCATTGTGTTGCAGACTCTACAGCAACACACTGAAGGAAAACCTTCGTCTGGGGTTTCAGTGAGTGACTCATATAGACAAGCAAAGACCATAGAGTCGAAAGATATATAGTTTTATACATTTTCCTTACTTAGAATTTGAAAAATTTCAATGCAATCTAGGCGCAATGAGACCAAAGTACGAACTATTACACTAACGATATAAAATAAAAATACCGTGCTAAAAATTCGTCCAAAATATATAACTAATATACCAGTTGAAAGATGAAACCTTAATCTATGTACTCCTGAAAAGAAAATTGGAATATCTTTCCTCGTTTTTTCAGCAAAGTCCTTCAAATCTAACACTGCGCAGGTCGGTGCACTGCACAGATGTCGGTGGCATACAATTATTTAAAGGGTCGGTGAAGCACACGGATGTCGGTGCGGAAGGGTTAAGATGAGATCTGAAGACTTCACGTGTGCTATAGTGCAGTGGTATTGGGAGTGTGCAATTTAGGGAGACTCTTATAGTTCTGGGTTATAAATCCATTGCTACGGATAGTGAAGACTAGTGGAAACAGAATGAGAAGATTAGTGTGGAGGAGTGATTGTAAATTTTGCAAATCAGCAATAGTATAAAATTATTTGTAGTCACGGCCTGTAGGTGGTTAATAAAACCAATACAAATGCAAACCCGCATCTTGGTCACTGATACACATGACAATGGTGTCAGAAATGTTATGGATTAGATCAGATTGATCAGATTATTGGATTTATGATTGCATTGGGTAGTATATCGCCACATTACAGAGACAAAACAAATGATGGCATGCGTGCAGGCTTAAATAAGAACCAGCCAAGAACACATGAAATAAATGATGAACGAAATGAAAGACAACATCAAAGAAGACATGAACGCCAACAGAAAATCCAACCAAGAGCACATGCAAGATATACTGACCAGGAATTGGACGGGAACTCGTGTTTTATGGCTTCAATATCTGAGCGGGTTTCATTCATTGTTGCCTGTACCTTAATATTGGTTAAGTTGTAGTCTCTGAGGTGATCGGACCTGATGGTTGCCAGGTCTTGTGCTCTTGTTGAATATGAAGACATCTTTGTTGTGGACAGTGAAGACCACAGACAGACTAACAAAATGTATCACCCCATAGACATGGGAGATGCCCAACCAATTTTCCAACCCCCCCCAAGGAGGATGCCCGCAGCAAAGCAAGCAGAGGTAAGTGAGATACTCAACATGCAACACCATGGGGTCATCAAGAAGTCAGACAGCCCCTGGTCAGGAAGAAAAATGGGCATTTCTGTTTCTGTGTGGACTACGGGAAGTTAAATGATGTCACAAAGAAAGACTGTTTTCCATTGCTCTGGACTGACGACACTCTAGAAACGCTAGCTGGAGCCAAATGGTTCTCCATTCTTCATCTGAAAAGTGGGTATTGCCAAGTATATGTACACCCTCAAAAGAAAGAGAAAACTGCATTCTTGACCATTCAAGGATTATGGCAGTTTACAGTCATGCCCTTTGGCCTCTGCAATGCTCTGACAACTTTCAAGAGGCTAATGGAGACAGCCCTGCAAGGTCTCACATATGACTCATGCCTTATGTACTTAAACGACGTGATCATAATTGGTCACACTCTCCAAGAGCACCAGCTCAACCTGTAGTTTTGTTGTGGTTTTGTAATCTAATACCTGAATCCATGCATACTTTTGTTTCAAATTTCAGTTAGGATAGTTCTATTTCCATTCATTCCACTTTATCAGTGGTGAACATAAATTCAGCACTTACTTGAGAGCAGAAGGTGCATAGGACATCATGATAGGTAAAATTCTCCCCTATTTTTACCTTCTATATCTGTGACGAAGATGACATTTCAGTTTTGTTTACCTCAGAAAATCATTCCTCTCTGGATCCCACACAGGACTTGTCCTTTTATGAAACTTGAAATCTCCAAGAATAATGGGGGAGGCTACTGACACTGGATTTATCTAGCAGGCTGGGGCTACTGATACAGTCAGTAGGCAATAAATGCTGCAAAGTGTAAATGCAAGACTAAGGAGATTTGGAAACCAGGCTACAAGCATTTCTTAATTTTTTCCTATGTCTTTCCTCACGGTGTGATAGTGGTTCCTTTCATTCACAAACTGACTGAAGAGTGAGTTGGGTGAATGCCTGTATGCAAAATCCACAAATCTTAACAGCATGCAGGCTCGAGAGCACAAATGGCTTGATACATACTTCAGCTCTTTATGCAAGCTCTGTACTTTACATCACCTTCAAAGCTGTTGCTGCTTTCGAATATTCCGGAACGAATTGTTGACAATGGCCACACCATGGTGCATAAAATTCAACTATCCACAGGGCATCGCTCTGTATGACAAGACGATCGAAATTCGCTGGAGTTAAATCAACAACCTCAGAACTTGATGGATACAAGGCATAACATCCAGTTACCAAAATTGTCAGTAAACCTGAAACACAGTACGTAACATGAAAATGCACAGAATACATACGAACGCTCATAACAGTAACATCCAACAAACGATGGGGCGACAGACGACCACTGTCAGATGAAAGTACTCACCAAACACTGCAGTCATGACTGAGAATGTACTCTTGAATTGCATCTGCAGTTTAATGTTAATGTTTTATCAATGTACCGTTTAACACCACAGAGAACACCACACAATATTTGCTTATACAACTACCACAAAACTACAATACTCTTCCGCATTGATAACACTCTCCTAACCGGTACGACATATAAGTACATATAGTAAATTTCGTGGTAAAATCCCATTGGTTGGTGTCATCGAAAGTATGAGAAATCCATCAGAACACAATTCACGTGTACAATGTGTGGAAATACTATAGTTTATCTTCAGGTGTTTTATTATATGTCATGAAAGCAGATACTGTCGGAAATGGCTATTTATTCAAAATAACTCTTCCTCTCATATTTCCTTTTCTCTATTTTCTAAGGCAGAAATTGCACAACATCAGCAACCATTCAAATTTTCATACGACGTATGTTAATGTAACACTCTTCAGGTGGTAGCACACGTAGCACATTAGCGAAAATTAGGAATGGCGCTAAATGGCTAGTCAGTATTGTTTCAGTGGTTACAGTTGTGAATGTATAGGTGTGTTGTTTACGTGTGTGAGATATAAGAATTTGCTCAAAATTCTTAGAAGCTGAATATGGTTTCCCCATACCTAATAACAAGGCCAAGTTGGAACACATATTACTTTGGAAGCGGTAGTTCGCGGGGGGGGTGGGGGGGTGGATAAAGCGGAACCAAACAACTGTTGAATGGCAGGTTGGCGCAAGACAGTATGGTCATGTTAATAAATTTTATAATTTCATATTTTTTTAAGCACTACGAATTACAGAACTATTGGGCGTATTTTGGACCCTAACCATCGTCTGGTTTATAGAAGACAAAAATCCACAACGTTTCGGAGACTGGATCTGTCTCCGTCCTCAGGTGGAATGGGCAGGATAAACCTACTCAGTTGGGCCCGTTAGAAAGACCTAGAAAGAGCCAGTATGGCACTCCTAAGAGATAGGATTCATGCTCACTAGAATAATAAGTCATCCCAACTCCAGAAGATCCAACAATTGAAGAGTTTTCTCACATCATCAATTAGTGGCGCAGACGAACAGCGTGTCTTCACTGCTGTGGAAAGCTCAATTCGAAACATCTTTAACAAGCAAAAGGGAATCGATATACGGAAGTTCTCCATGCTCAAGAGTCATCGTGACAAGGTCGGGCCCGACCCAGCTACTGTCTCTGGAAAATTCGTCCTTAATCTCTCTGAGTACGTTCTCACAGACTATGAGGAGTCAGTCCTTATGAAGGGCTTGAATTTCACCATAGTGAATTCACACTTCAACTTACTTACTTACTTACTTACTTACTCATGGAGCTGAGCCCTTCTTGAGGAGCTGCCAATTCTGCAGCTACTCTAGAATTTCCCAGAATTTTATGGAACACGAAAGTTCATCACCGTGTTCACAAGAGCCCTCCACTGGTCCCTATCCTGAGCCAGATCTATCCAATCCATACCATCCCATCCTATCTCTCTAAGATCCATTCTAATATTGTCCACCCACCTACGCCTTGGTCTTCCCTGTGGTCTCCTTACTTCTGGCTTTCCCACCAATATCCTATACGCATTCCTCGTCTCCCCCATTCGTGCTACATGACCTACCCACCTCATCCTCCTCGACTTGATCACTCTAATTATGCTTGGAGAAGAGTACAAGTTATGAAGCTCCTCATTATGCAGTTTTCTCCAACCTCCTGTGATTTCATCTCTCTTTGGTCCAAATATTCTCCTCAACACCCTCAGTCTATGTTACTCCCTTAATGTCAGAGACCAAGTTTCATACCCATACAGAACCACAGGCATAATTATAGTTTTGTATATTCTAATTTTTATGTTTTTGGACAACAGACAAGAAGACAAAAGGTTCTGGACTGAATGGTAGCAAGCATTACCCGAGTTCAGTCTCCTCTTAATTTCCTCCTGAATCAGATTTTGATCTGCTATCGTTCCCAAATATCTGAACTGTGCCACATACTCAAAACATCTGTTTCCTATCTTTATGTCATGATTTTGCCCTGCATTTTGGTGACGCAACAGTAACATATACAGTAAAACTTGGTTATAGCAACATCGGTTTCTGCGACACCTTGTCTATTGCGTCAAATATTCAATGGTACGAACTAATTCCTCATAAAGCAACTGTTTTTATACCTTGCTTAGTACGACATGCACAAATGCATCAACCTCGTATGTAACGTCATTTT